AGAGATAGGGTGAGGAGCTTGGTCACCCGGGAGGAGCTCAGAGTAAAACCGCTGCTCCTCCACACCGAGAGGAGCCAGCTGAGGTGGCTCGGCATCTGTTTCGGATGCCTCCTGGGCGCCTTCCTAGGGAGGTGTTCCGGGCATGTCCCACCGGGAGGAGGCCCCGGGGAAGACCCAGGACACGCTGGAGGGACTATGTCTCTCGGCTGGCCTGGGAACGCCTCGGCATTTCCCCCGGAGGAGCTGGAGGAAGTGTCTGGAGAGAGGGAAGTCTGGATATCTTTGCTTAGACTGCTGCCCCCGCGACCTGGTCCTGGATAAGTGGAGGAAAATGGATGGATGGAATAAAAAGTAACCCTAATAATTAGCATGAACAGAACCAGTACCTGTTCCCTAGACCTCCTTAGATTGGATTTACTGTTCTAAGTTCATACTATGAAAGCTCTGTTCACAAAAACCCATCAGCTAAGCTGTTTTATCATGAAAGAAATTATCCTCTGAACTGACTTACAGAACAGAATTTCCTTGGTGGTGAAATCCTCACACTTTGTTGTTGTTCTGCTTCTGCTCTGCTAGGGAGGACGCTCTACCTCCCAACAGCCGCCCAGGTCAGTCGTCGTCCTAATTGGAGCACCAATCAGCACCCACAGGTGACTTACTGTGAAATCAGCAAGACTGAGGAGAGCTCTTTCAATGATGGATGCACGCACACCCCTTCCAGCAACAGCAGCACACTGGTCAAATATGACAGCAAGTTTGGATACGCAGTCTGACCATCAACAATAATGCTCATGAAAGACGGTCAGAGGTTTAGAGACTAAACATATCAGCATCTTCTGCTCCTTGCGTCTTTGTGAACCAGCCAGAGCTGACATGCTCAGTGTTTACAGTTTACCTCTCAGCTGGAGTGTGAATGCATTAGTCCAAAATGTTTTAATAACTGATTTGACTCATAACCAGGAAAACAACTAAAAAACAGCTACTTTGCATAAATTACATTTTTTTGTATAGTGTCTATTTGTTCATTTTTGTGCTTTGAAATTTTCTGACTTGCATTAAGATGAGACGACTCACTTGGTGCAAGGCAACAGTTAGCCAATATATTGTATATTAAATGTTAAATTCATTTGATCTAACCTTGTAAAACAGATGGGCTGACAGGTTCAGTAAACATCAGAATCTTTAATTAGAAAGTACGATACATTCATGCTCTCAGTAGAAAACAAACTGATGAAGGATGTACCTGTATGCCAACTCGCTACGGTCTAGCAGATCGGTATAGAGGTACTAATGGCAGTAGAAATAACACTGGAGGTAAATGGAAACACTGAGCACTGCGCCCCTAGAAAATCACAAAGCAATTAAAGGCTCCTTTCGAGTATTTTTGTTCATTAGAGCAAACACTTTCCTTCAAATTAAAACAGTTCTGACACTATTTAATTTTAGTCTGCACAGCACCAAAATGGATTTCACACATGTAAAATGTTTGACATTGAGGGAGGAAAAGTAAATCCTGCCACCTGTTCGTCTGTAAAAGTAAGGCAAGGTGCAAAAATCATATCAATCAAACTCCATACAGACATTAGAACATGAATTTGGCTTTTAAAAAAAACTGAGATTTAGAAGTGTGAAGTAGTTGGTGAATGTCTTTGTTTCCATTTTGCATCCGGCTGATTGCACCCATAGACTTGTCATGCCAAGACTGAAGTGAACTGTGTATGAGATGTTATAAAATCCCTCCAACTGAGGGTCCATCCAGTTTCCAGTTAGGATGCGTTAAATGCTTCTCCATCTTGCTTTTGAGGACTCTGAAGGCGATATTGTATAAGTGCCTCTCCCCTGCTTTAGTTAAGTCCTCTGGATGTGTGAACTTTCTTTGGGGGATGGCTGTGTTCTTTACTGGTTGATGTTAAGGTTCAGTAAGCAACCACCATGATTCAAAGGCACCATACTGTACATTGGTCTGTGTGTGTGTGTTCTTGTGGGCCACACATGGGCACATGCATACACGGAGAAGTAAAACTAGTCAACAAAGTCGATTCCCTCCATTGGTGTCAGCCCACAAGGCATCACCATGAAAACTAAGGCAAATTCTCTCAACCTGAAATCATAGCATTGTTTTTTTTTTATTCTAGTTTTTCTCATCTGATTATTTGCTGTTTCTAAAATCACCTTCCCCCACAATAATCATTTGTAATGATAATAATCTCTATTCAATAAATTATCTATACTGTACAGTTATTTCACCTCACATAGACCTGCAACAAAGGGAAGCCATTTTCAAAGTAAAACTATCCACAGTCAGTTTTTGATTCTCAGTTCAGTTAAAGCCTCTGCAGAGCACAGAGACGCTGGCAGACACCAAGCCAGGTATTTCTTCTTTCCTGTACAGAAATTAAACAGGTCATCCTGGGGAGGAAAAAAATTCCAAACAAAAGCAAAGCTGATGCATAATTGAGGGCAGAGAAACAGGCCAGAAACAATCTCTGAAAAATGAGTATCCAGAAAAAAAAAAAGTTATTTTTTTCCCTTGTCCTGTTTGCAAAATTCTCTGAGAACAGTAGATAGAAGAGGCTTCCTCATTTAAAGGGAGCCAGGCCAACAAACATCCAAGCCTTACTGCACTCCTTCTTCATCCACGTAGGTTGAAGGAAACCATCCAATCTGAAACGTAAAACAGTAATCATCAGAGATATATACTCCTTTTTTAGTGGCAAATGTAAACAAGGAATGCTAAGTGAGTTAATTCAGATCCCTTTTTCCATCCAACATTTGGTAACATTAAAAAATGCATTTATTCTCTGTGCAGCATGAATGCTTTAGTCTAGATTACTTTGTTCTAATTGGATGAAGGATGTGCATTATTACAGATAACTTCACAGCTCAAATGTAAGCAGCCTCTTCCCTCTTCCAAAAAAAAAAAAAAAAAAAAAAAAATGACTAAACTTGAAGGCTACTTCAAATACTACTTCAGCTGTTGCTAAGCAACAACTTCTCCTTGTAGGTAGGAATAGTAAAATACTGAGCTAACATAGGTAGTACCAACACAAAGGCTGTATTGAAAGAGCATATTTCCCTAAATCATAAATAAACAACAGACATTGTCCGGCCCCATTAATAGTTGCACCTAGACAATTGTATGCACGCCCACCTTGCCACTGTAGACTATTACTGGTCCCTATAAAACCAATTCTGCTATAAGCGTCAGTAAGTCAGGAGTGTGCAAAATCAACCAAGCTGAAGATTGATGTTTACAGTTATTTTTTTCTGGTTTATTTTTCCTCATGCTGCGCCTCCCCTGAAGTTTTGATGCCCCCCCCAGGGGACGTGTGCCTCACACTTTGAAAGCTGCTGATCAACATTCTGTTTCTAGGAGGGCTCTTCATTCTGGAAACACTATTACACTCATCTTTACAGACTTGAATGGTTTACTCACTCGTCCGTTGGCCTCTCCTTTCCACCAACCCTGGTCTCCGCCGATCTTGCTGTAGATTTTGACAATGTCTCCTTCTCGCAGTGACAGCTCCCTCATGTCTCGCGCTGCAAAGTTATACCTGGCCACTGCTGTACTGACCACCCGAGGAGTAAACACTGAAAACGGAAAACAGTGGGAGCTCAGTCCACTCACATTGTAAGAACAGATTTCAGAAACTAAAGTTAAAATCATCAGGAGGATTAGAGATAATTAATCATATCTATGCATGAGAGAGGTGGCTGACAGAGGAAAGGTCATACTGGACACAGTGGTGGGTTATATGGTTGAATGGGCAGAACAGAGCTGGTCAGTTCGGTGTTCAGCATGACAGAATGTAGTCACACGATGGCAAATGAGCATGATGGGAAAGGACAACGCGTTTCATCATAGGGGAAACTGGGCTTTCTTTTCTTGATTTAATGAGGGAATGTGTCATCCTGGGAAGAACTGAACTACTCGTTAATGAAATGAGCGCCACAGCGAGGGAGTAATGAGGTCGGGAGCACAGAGGCTTGTTATGAAATTACAGGCAATGAAGTGCAGGAAGACAACAGGAGCAGGAAAAGACAGCAAAAGAATACCTGACCAAAAGGGAGCTGAGCTCTGAGAGGACGAGAAGTTGAGGCCCTGCGGACTGAGGAAGGAGAAGTTGTAGGAGGCGCAGGTGGCTGCTGAGAAGAGGAGAGAAGGAGGAGCAAATAAAGCTAGAAGATGTTTTGAGGTGCATGCATGCAGAGCTGTAGCAAGAGAAGCAGAGTTGAAAAAGAAAGATGAGAGAAGGCCTTGTGTACTGAAGTTGTCTGACTCTTAAGAGTGCATTCTGTTCTCATATTCAGTCTTTACACAATTGGTGTCACAGTTTCACTGCTTTGCTTTAACAGTGTGAATGATTTTTTTTATTTTTAACATCCATATTTATTTGTGGATTGCAAAAAAAGGATCATTGTAGGAATTGATGGTGTATGCGCTGATGTAAAGGCTTTTCATAAAATGTTCATCTGGACCAAACTGTCAGCACATAATGGTGCAGAAGGCACTGCTTTTAATGGTAGTGAGAGAAGCAGCTATGATTGGCCAGGACTGTTACCATCCCCTAAACAAGCCCGAACAGGCATGCCTGTAAACAGACAGAGAAAAAGCAGGAGCACATAGTCATCAGCAAAGACTCAATTCATTTCCTAACTCAGCCAAAACAGGAGGGAAACAATCTCACTGTAGTTGCCAGCTGGGTCTTCCTACAGCACAGACAAAGGCAAGCCAATCCAGGACAGAAGCCAGTGCAAGGCCGGAGCCAGTATTCACACAGTCTAATGGTCAGAGAGGACAGCCAGTCCAAGGGAGTTAGCTGACATAGTCTTCCTATTTGTCTTTCTCTATTTCCTAACTGCTCTTCTCCTTTCCTGCCACGTTGCCCTCTGGCATCCCTATGAGTTAGAGTTCACTGTCATGGGGAGGAACAGAGTAGCAGGGAAGCTGAAAAGAGCGAGAGGCAGGCTGACTCTGTTCTTCTCATTATATCCACAGCCAAGACAGCAAAGGCAAGCTCCCTCTGCATGTCAGAGTTCTCTGCTTTCAGTCATAACCCAAAGCTCATGACCATAGTTGAGGGTTCAAACCTGGGTTGATTCCAGAACACTTCTGGAACAATTTTGGTAAAAATATACGCTGCCCACAACAGGAAGACTGGGACCTTTTACAGGAGCCAGGCCTAAGAAAGGAGTTCGAGAGCGCCTGCTGGCTGGTTGCGTTCAGTCTGAAGAGCCCCTGCCTTGCGGGTCCACCACTTACAAGACTGGTCCCAAGGGTCGTGTGTTTTGTCAAGTGGGCCAAAATATTCTACACAAAATAAACTATAAACTCAGCAAGATACATGTTAATGGCTAGTGTTCATTTTCTACTGAGTAAATTGGAGCATGGGACATGAAACAAAGTTGCATCAGCAAGGTTACAAGGTACCATGTAAACTAGACTCCGCATTGGTAAGCCTGTTGAAACTTTTTTGATAAAAAGCAAATTGACAATCATTTATTATTAACTGATCTACCTCATCGCTCATTACTGCAAATTGCTAGCAGAATGCGCTCTGTGTTTTAATGCAGCAGTAGGGCAAGTACAATATTTAATATGATCAGGCCATGTGCTGACATCAGGTGATAGCTGACTTTGTGTCTGTGGCTTAGTCTAACTGTACAGAATGAAAGTAAGGTTCTGGAAAACAGTAACGTGGAAGTCTTACCTGGTGATCGTGTACTGGTCCTTGGTAGCGAGCGTTCTCTGGACTTGTAGGGGTATCGCAATGGGGTATCTAATAACTTGAAGCTTTCTTTCAGAGAATGGGACTGGTAATACTCCACCAGCTCCTGTTATAGTTCAGAAAGAAAAAAAAAATCATTGATTATCACACTGACATCAAGTTTCAGTTTCTGTGTAAGCAGCAGTACAAATGGCTTACCAAAAGACTCTCAAACTTCTTGGCCTCAGTAATGTGAATCCAGTTGTCTTTTTCAATGACTTTGATGTGTTTTACTTCATCATTGAATCTGTAAAACCAAAGACCACAGTAACTAGACAGAAAGAACTAAGAGGAAAACTGTTAATTAATATTTTATCCATTTTCATCCGCTTCATCCGAGACGGGGTCGCAGGGGCAGTAGCATGAGCAGAGACTCCCAGACTTTCCTCTCCCTACACACCTCCTCTAGCTCCTCAGGAGGAACCCCAAGGCGTTCCCAGGCCAGCCAGGAGACATAGTCTCTCCAATGTGTCCTGGATCTGCCCCGATGCCTTCTCCTGGAAGGACATGCCCGGAATACCTCCCCAGGGAGGCGTCCAGGGGGCATCGTAAACAGGAGCCCGAGCCACCTCAACTGGTTCCGCTCAACGTGGAGGAGCAGTGGTTCTACTCTGAGCTCCTCATGGATGGCTGAGCTCTGCACTCTATCCCTAAGGCTGCACACAGCCACTCTCCAGAGAAAACTCATTTCTGTCGCTTGTATCCGCGTCCTCTTTCTTTCAGTCATGATCCAAAGTTCATGGCCATAGGTGAGGGTAGGAACATAGATCGACCAGTAAATTGAGAGCTTCACCTTACGACTCAGTTCCTTCTTCACCACAACAGACTGGTACAGAGACTGCATTACTGCGGACGCCGCACCAATCCGTCTGTCAACCTGCTGCTCCATTTTTCCCCTCACTTGTGAACAAGACCCCGAGATACTTAAACTCATCCACTTGAGGGAGCAACTCACCCCCAACCCGGAGAGAGCAATCCACCTTTTTCTGACTGAGGAAATTTATTTATTTTTTTTTAAACAGTAGACAAAATAAAGTACGTTACTTTTACATATTGTTTTGTATTTGTTTGCCTTGTCATACTTTTACTGACACGTACCCTGGGAGTAATGTGCTCAGCTGCTCAACATTTTCTACAACAGATATTTTGTTATATACCTGAAGGACCAGTAAACCAAAGTAAAGTCAAGTCTGACTGTGGTAAAGGTTGGTCTCTACAGGCCTTTTGCACATGTCTTAAAAACTTGAAGACAAATGTACGAAAGCATTTCCTCTCCCAACACACTGCTGCATGCCAGCTCCTGTTAGAGCTCGTGTATTATCTGTCTTTGGGTTGACATTCTCTCTGAGGAAATGCACACAAAAAACATGATCACATTTAAAAAAAGAAAATACTGAGTGGTAAATTATCCAGAGCTAAATTATGCATTGAAAAAGCTGACAGGGGCATCCCTTGAGAAATTCTGAGAATGTCCCCATGTGAATGTGGATAAAAACCTTCCCTTGGGATTTTCCTCACTCACTTGATGCTGATGGCGAACCTCTCTGCCTCAGCTGTCCTCTCTCTGATAAGGTAGGTCCCACTGCTGTGGGATTTCAAGAGGTTGTCGGCCTGCTGGCGCTCCATGTTCCCTGCAAACCTACAGGGGGAGCAAACAATTGTGACCTCAAAATACAATGTTATACAAACCCTTGACATCAAAATACCATGTGGTAATTAATCTTTTGGTAGTGGTTGTGTAAAATGAACCAGTACATGAAGTTCACTTTAGAGATGGTCCAAATTAAAAGGACAGGACTTCAGGGCAATGATACTCTTGTATACTATATATAGCTTATATTTTACAAGTATACGGTTGAACTAATAATAAATCCACAACTTTCAGAATTTAAGGGTCTTACCAAGGATACCCATAGTAGTCTGCTTCCCTTGAAGACTGCCGGCTGGATAATGACTGGAAGGGCTGTCAGTAATGCATGTCACACATTAAAGGACTTATACACAGCACACAACCATAGTGCAGAGGTAATTCATTTGTATGTGCAGTCCCCTTGAAACTAGTGCATAACAAATGGGTGATGTACCTTTGGGTCCAAACAGGGCTTTACACACGAACTGGGGAAGAAGCCACTTTTTTGTGTTTGAATCAGCTTTCCCTGCAAGATAAAGATAAAGTTGAACTTTTCAGAAACACCTTCATTGTCTACTTTGACATCATATGGAGCCATTTATCACTCTAGAGGGCTAACCTAATAGCTGAGTTAAAATTAATGGCTTCAGAAAAATGTTCCAAGTCACTTTGGGGAAAGTGATACTGTTTGAGTCCAGCCTAATTTATTATAGAGGTTTGCAGGTACAGCACCATTAATGTTTAACTAAGAGAAAGTTAATAGCATTGCTAAAGATGTCTTCGCCTTGCTCCAAGACATCAGAAGAATTACTGTTTCAGTAGCATCTGCTTATTTCTGAAGATCAGTGTGTGGCATGCATGTTGAAAGGCAGCACAAATTGATTAACAATGGAAAAAACTCTCATGGGTGCCAGGTAAGTACAGGACAATATCACTGTCCTGTTATATGAGAATCTCTTTGGGTGTATTGTGTTAGTACTGGCAAACCCAGCTACTGACAGGGATTTGATCCAGGTCTAACAGTCCTCATCTTTTGCATGACAAAAATTGTTTTGCCATGCATTCCTCCAGCTGTGTTCACACCTCCTGCTATTTCCTATACAGACCATAGCTCTGCCATGCACAGCAACACTGCAAACACATCACTCCTCTCTGATGTCAGCTTCATGTGGTATAACTATCATCAGAAATTATATTGAGAAACATCTAGTACAAATAGGAAGTACCTTTTGCTTATAGTAGAGGCACATATTTTGGCTCTGTTCTACAGTATTAAAGAAATTGTTTGATATTTTGGGAAATGTCCTTATTTACTGAGATAAGAACATTGATACCACTCATATATTTCTTTGCCAAGTATGTAAGGAAGTAGTTATTTGCCTTAGTTTAGCATAAACACTGAAAATAGGGGGAATAGGGGGATAGCTGTAGCTCTTTTTATACACACCCCACTGGTTAAAGAGAGCTATGAATCCCACCATGTTCACCTACAGTGGATAACTGCCACATGGCTTCAGATTGAAGTTTATACGATAGTTGTTGTTTTTTTTTTTTTTACCTCCCACCACGTGGTATCTGGATCTCCCTTCAGCAGCTCAATAAAATCTCCTGTTTGAAAGCAGAGCGGCGTTTTCCCCGGAGGTGCTGGTGTGCCGTGGTAGTTCCTCACTGCCACCATCTTGGGACCTGGAAACATAATCAAGTGTTTATAAGTGTATATTAATAAAGGTAAATAATAGCAACAGTGATTTTTTTTAAGACTGCGTGTTCTACTGTATATCAGCCCTTTTTTTAAAATAAAATTGCAGTTGCAAACATCCGAAAGGTAGGGAGAGATACCTATTTGTAATATCTGAACTTCTCTACAAAGAGCCATGTGATCTACAGTATTTTTTAACTTGGTCAGTTTGTGGTGCTTTATATTAGAAGATACCAAAAAGATAATAGAGACAAAGATCTAATTATACATTTCTCCACACAGGATGCTGCTCACTACTGTTTGTAGTTTTGTTTGTAGTTATCTTTTAGGTTTCACATGTAATGTTGTGATTTTTGGCTGATAAGGCAGGACTGAAGAAAAATCTTGCCCTCTGATTTTAGATATAGAGAATAAAACCACAGCATCTTGGGTTCAAATCTGATCCTTTTTTTGTGCATTTTCTTAATAGGTGAACATGCCAGAAAGAAAATCCCACCAAGAACTTGAACGGTGATTGTAAACTGCACATCATTCTCAACAAACTAAGCCCTGTGTAATGACCATTTCAAGACACTGTAAACCAAATATCCTTCTTATGTTAAAGCTCTTCTTGTTTTTTAATCTCAAAGAATATTTTAAGTTTATGGTATATCTATGATTTGACACTCTACATACATAATGTTGCTGTGGATCATTTGTGGTGGATGTTAACCACTAGATGGCAGTAGAGAGCCATGCTGATCATTAGCAGCTGTATCCATAAAACAACTCTGTTACATACAGGACAGCTGACAGAATATCCAGCTTCTTATGAAAGAATTCTTTATCATTTCTATGGGCCAGAAGTGCTCTTACCTGATGACATTCCAGGTTCCTATAAAACAAGGACAAATACACAAGTATTAGCAAACAGACGATATTGTATAATTTACTGACAAAGGTAAAATCTCTGAGGATCTTTATGGTATGAGGGAAGACTGCAATTCGAGGACAACTTTGAAAATGCTCCTGCAGTGTTTTGGCTGACAGAAGACCTACTCACCAAGTCATGAGGATCTGAAACAAAAGACAAGATATGGAGACTATCATAGAGGATTCACAGTGAACCTGGCAGCCATTATTGATTGGTGATGAGTCACAGTAAAAATATCTTGCAATGAGATTTCTCATAATATCTGTCAGAGATTCATTTAGAGTGCACTTTTTCATTTGCTATGTCAAACAACAAGGCACTTGTGTGTAAACGTGGTGAAAGAACCAAACTATATACTAACAGGCATGTAAAAATGTTCCTCCTACTCCCTGGCCCCATTATTTCTTCATATTCCAAATCTGCCACACTTCTATTGACAGTTCAGTCAAGTAGGGTTTAAACAATTAAGAGTTGGTGTTCAGGCTTCCATGCTGAACCTAACTTGGATATACTGAAGCTGGCTGCACGTTATGAAAATGGGTCTATGCTTGTCTGAACTAATGCTGAGAAGTTTTGGGAACAACTGGTGTAAATAACTGCTAACTATCTCCCCCCTTTTCCTGGTAGATGAAGCAGCCTACAAGCAAGACTGTGTTCAATAACAGCAGCTTTATATTTTTGGGCAAAACAATGAAAAAAACCTATAGTTTAGCTCAGTTCGACACTGATTAACAAATTTAATCTAAACATTTTTCTGCCCTACTACTAAGCACCACGTGAGTAAACCTGATTGAGGTTTTTTATGAGAAGATTAAAGGAAAAACCTACTGATTTTACAGATGGTGATCACTTCCAGACACTCTTTGTGTGCTCCTGTTCCACAGCGAGCGCAGTAGTAGCCCTGATAGAAGATGCCCCTGGAGGACACACACACATCAGTAATGCAAACAGGAAGTGTCCCAGACACCAATTACCTCCTTAGAAGTACAGCTCACAAGGGGACCTGCTGCAACTTAGTATAATTCTGTGATTGTGGTAACACATCCTCCATCACTGCCATTCTGAGGTCCTTTAAAAGCACAAAGTCTACTTGCTACGTTTAAGTTCACACACTCCAGAACTGTATTTTTTTTTTTTTTACAGATGCTGCAACACTGCATGCATTGCCCACTGCCATGTTGAATAGAATAGTAAGTGCCATAAATCTTGATGGAGTCCACTGGGACTGCAGCAGTAATTAGCATTAGCAGGGAGTGGGAGCACTGGTGCCTGCCTCGTCTGGCTCTGTGAATTTAGGTCAGCCAAGCCATGAAATGTGTGGGTCAATACAAAGTGGAGTTTAGCCGCCCGGCTGTAATAGAGGAAAGTGGTGCTTCAGTGACAGTTATCCCCCGCTGCAGTTGAGCAGCACTCTCACATGGGAGGAGGTGGGCTTAGGGACGCAGTGGGTGGTGTTGGGAAAGGGAAAGTTTAAAAATATCATCTGTCTGCCTCAGTCACATTAAGCGGAACATGTTCCAAAGACTGGTTTAGTGCTCATGAGGGGCTACAATAGCCAAAAACATATTCCCTCTGTGATTTAAGATTGTTGCTCAACACGTGGCCAGATTTCTCTTCAGTTTAGCACCTAAGTTGTTCACTTGCCTTTTTTGCTGCTTTTACTAGCATTACATTTACTTACTACAGTATGTACAATATGTTACTGTTGCATAAAAGCAGTTGTGGACAGTAACCAAGGATGTTTCATGTGGTGCTCAGCTACTTTATACTTATTATAGTGGATCCACTAATAATCTAGAGGGAAATGCAGAACTTGCAACTCTATTACATTTATTTGACAGCTAGAGTTATGTTGCAGATTAAAATTTTTATATTAAATTAATTTATAAAATATGGCAGATTACTTAACGTTAACTAAGCTGTTCACTGTTCACTCAGTTATTGTAGCTTAGCTGTCCATCTGAACATCTGTGAAAACATCATCTGAAGGGAACCATGAGCTGCAAGTCAAACAAGTGAACGAGTGAATGAGCGGACCTTTAGCAGAGACTATTTGGACAGTTATTTTAAACAAGACCCCCATGACCTACTACACATAAACAAGTTAATGTAAAACTAGTAATAATACAATAATACAGAATAGCATATATATAATTTAACAACAGTGGCCCTTCTGAATAACAGCTTATTGATACTCTATGTTAAAAACATTAAAGAAATTGACATTTTGGGAGATCAGATATGGGATCTCTTGCCAAGTTGTGCTTCATGCCAAATTATCCAGCTACTGCCTGTAGATCATATTTGGCATATGGATTTAAGAGTAGTATGGGTGCGGCTGTGGCTCAGGAGGTAGAGCGGGTCGTTTCCTAACCGGAGGATTAGCGGTTTGATTCCCGGCTTGTCCAGTCAACATGTCGAGGTGTCCTTGAGCAAGACACTGAACCCCCAGTGCTTGGGAGTGCGAATGGGTGAATGGCTGAATAATGTGAAAGCGCTTCGAGTGTGCTGTAAAAGCATAGAAAGGCGCTATACAAGTATAAGACCATTTACCATTTACCATAGTATCAATCTTCTCATCAAACTCTCAACAGGAAAGCAAATAAGTGTATTTTTCAAAATGTCAAACTTTTCCTTTAAGTAAAAATGTTAATGTACTTTTACTCTTAATAGAATAGTTTTAATTGTGTTATTTTATTTGAAATACAATCAGTACGAAAGCACCTACAGTCAAGGTGTAGAAGCATCTCAACAGCTATTGATGGGAGTAGGAGGCACCAGAGCTCAATAGCAAGCGTTGTAACAAAGGGTCTGAATACTTCTGTAAAATGGGATATTTTAGTCTTATATTTTCAATAATTTTTCTGAACACTAAAAAAAAAAAACCTGTTTTCACTTTATTACTATGGAATATTGTGTGTAGATTGATGAGAAAAAAAAAAAGAGAAAGAATTGAATCCATTTTAAGATGAGTCTGAAGCATAACAAAATGTTGAAAACTTGAAAGGCTTAAAAACTTTCCATACTGACTGTACATGATCTGACTGCGTCTTCTACCACTGCATTAAATATGAATATGGAAATACAGTATCCTTATATCAATATTTCATGAACAACATCACAGTGTACAAAATATCTTGTTACCCAAAGAATCGACTGACAAGCGATCACTATCACATACAGTATACTTGGTAGTCCTCGGAAAGTCTGGAGAGATTCATTATTCATCCATTATTCATGGTAGAATATAAACATGCTGATATGCACATCAGTAGCATGGTTATTGGGACTGTTACCTCAAGAGCATCTTGCAGGCTCGACAGTTGGTATTCTTATCAAACGTGTGCATTTCGAAGTTATGCTGGTTGGCTGTGGCTCTCTCTGGCTTGATGTTGGACCTATAAGTACATAATTCTGAATGAGAGAAACGGATTGGACACAACAATTTGAGTTTGTGGTGAAGTAGCTTGATTTTTTTCCCCTGGTGTTTAATAGGATTAGCCAGAAATAGACATTTTCATCTGGCTATTATCACACTCACATGGCCATTTCAAACTGCTCCATCCACTTCCGCTTTGTCTCCTCGGTTTTACAAAAGAACTGGAAGCCCTGCTTCCCTTGCAGATGGATCAGGTAGAAACCGTAGGACCACTGGGGAGAAAAAGTGAGTGAAGAACAGATGGCAGAAAGATGTGTGGATGGCAAAGGCACACAGAGATAGGAAAAGTTTGAGATACCTGCGCTTTAAAACAAACCTGTGCAAAACTTTTTTTGTAAACAAGACCACATTACATTCAGAACTAAAAGATGCTCCACATGCTTTAGCGATGCATCCAACATAAAAGCTGGAAAGCCAGTCGCAGAACCACTGGGTGCTCATGCAATCAAGGCATGACACCCAGAAATACCACTGCCAAACACAGGCTACTATGGAAAGATGACTTAAATAAAGGGGTCACTGGAGCTTACCATTTTTCCACTTGACTGGCAAGCATGCAAAAAGAAAGACACCAGAGAAAGACCCAGTTACACATGCAAACATGAACAGACACATGCAGATTTAAAACAAAAAGCCATGTTAGATTGGTAGCACAACGTGCTGCAGTATGATTTCATGAATCTGAAATGACCTTTGTTGCATTTACATGATCTTTCAAGCATGAGTGAGCACAATGCATATCTGATACTTTGACGCATGAATCATAACTTCCATATCTGAAATTACCATCAACAGATTCCTTTATCTCAAGGACAACGTTTGTAATGATTATACAGGATGTACCATCACCCGCACTAGCAAGTCTGTCTTCAGAAAGATGTCACTGCATACAAAATATTGTTCTCCTCTGTCATTTCAAACCAGATGATTGTCTTACCTTTTTCATGTCTCTGTTGTTCATGGGGTCGTCCGACATTTTATATGACTGCAGTTCAATAATCTCCTTAAGCTCATAGCTGTAGCCTTTCCTTTTGCAGACAATGACCACTTTATCAAACAGGAATATATACCTGAAGTCAAACACACACGCACACACACAGTCATTGATAATCTGGTGGTGAGAATATGTCACTATTGGCATTTTTTGTGCAGAACTTGGACTCGCCTGTCCTGTTTTGTTCGGTTGACAATGGAGCACACCTTCAGCTCTCCGTCTATCTTTGGCCTCCCGTACTCCTCCAGTTTTACCTGCTGCTTCAGTCACAAACACACACAGAATGTCAGTCCACTGCATACAGTACCATCACCTCTCCATCTAATGAAGAACTACATATAATCCAGCCACTCCTGAATTTCAAAGAATGATGCAACTCAGAAACAATTCAATCTTTGTACAGTTGCACTTCCATCCTCCTGATCCAAACTGTTGGATAAGTGTCTGTTTCCCAAGTCACAGAAGCTGTGGATTTTACTGATGATTTCTCAGGGTTTTATTGTACAAGTCAAAAATTAACCTAGTTTATACTGTATTAGCACATCTCTAAGAAATAACAGAGGTGAAGGGGAGTGGCATGAAGGAGAAAATGGTGACATAAAGAGGAAATGAGTGGGTGTTAGAAATATTAGGGGAAGTGAACATCCTTTTGGAATCTACATCATTTCTCTTGTTCTGCATGACTAAATGATTTCTTGGGAACATTATGAAGGTGGAGGATCATAACGGGTGGAAGTATGCCACATTCGAGTATAGATAACTACTCTGACATTCAGTGAGTAATCACTCTGAAAAACCTCCAGCCTATCATTAACATTATCACCAGTGTATTAGTCTTTACACACAAAAACAGACTTCTATATAGAAAATAAATATAGCATTATAAATGGCAATGAGAAAAAAAAACTGATTCACAAAAATGTTTTTTATTCACTGAATAAAATGAATGGTAATGTGATGGATGATCCAAACGTTAGGAGCACCTAAATATGTAGTTTTGGATATTTTCATTTATAGGTTGAAACTGAGGAGAAAAAGATTAGTATTTGCTTTTTTGCTGAGAGTGGGAAGAGATGATTAATAACACAATCTCATCTGTCCAAAAAATGTGAAGCTGTACGATGGACATGGCATCACCACTTCCCTCCACTATGCAAAGGTTGGGCCAAAATATTGTGAATATGGTGGCTGCCATCTTGTTCTTTTGCAACCAGATTCTGTGCAGTAGCGACCGGAAGTGGAGGGACAGCATCAATCAAACCTGTCAATACACCCAATATGCATAATTTTTTGTATCATAAAATAACTTATTAAAACAACCTTACCAGTTTACAGACATCGGTGTGATAATATCTAACAAAAACCGTAGAAATCACCAAATTTATTTGATTTTAACTTTGAGCTTTTAGTTTGGGTCATCTCCCATCCACTAACATGGAGAAGGCAGGATTTACAGTGCCTTGCGAAAGTATTCGGCCCCCTTGAACTTTGCGACCTTTTGCCACATTTCAGGCTTCAAACATAAAGATATAAAACTGTAATTTTTTGTGAAGAATCAACAACAAGTGGGACACAATCATGAAGTGGAACGAAATTTATTGGATATGTCAAACTTTTTTAACAAATAAAAAAACTGAAAAATTGGGCGTGCAAAATTATTCAACCCCCTTAAGTTAATACGTTGTAGCGCCACCTTTTGCTGCGATTACAGCTGTAAGTCACTTGGGGTATGTCTCTATCAGTTTTGCACATCGAGAGACTGAAATTTTTGCCCATGCCTCCTTGCAAAACAGCTCGAGCTCAGTGAGGTTGGATGGAGAGCGTTTGTGAACAGCAGTTTTCCACAGATTCTCGATTGGATTCAGGTCTGGACTTTGACTTGGCCATTCTAACACCTGGATATGTTTATTTGTGAACCATTCCATTGTAGATTTTGCTTTATGTTTTGGATCATTGTCTTGTTGGAAGACAAATCTCCGTCCCAGTCTCAGGTCTTTTGCAGACTCCATCAGGTTTCCTTCCAGAATGGTCCTGTATTTGGCTCCATCCATCTTCCCATCAAGTTTAACCATCTTCCCTGTCCCTGCTGAAGAAAAGCAGGCCCAAACAATGATGCTGCCACCACCATGTTTGACAGTGGGGATGGTGTGTTCAGGGTGATGAGCTGTGTTGCTTTTACGCCAAACATAACGTTTTGCATTGTTGCCAAAAAGTTCGATTTTGGTTTCATCTGACCAGAGCACCTTCTTCCACATGTTTGGTGCGTCTCCCAGGTGGCTTGTGGCAAACTTTAAACGACACTTTTTATGGATATCTTTAAGAAATGGCTTTCTTCTTGCCACTCTTCCATAAAGGCCAGATTTGTGCAGTATACGACTGATTGTTGTCCTATGGACAGAGTCTCCCACCTCAGCTGTAGATCTCTGCAGTTCATCCAGAGTGATCATGGGCCTCTTGGCTGCATCTCTGATCAGTCTTCTCCTTGTATGAGCTGAAAGTTTAGAGGGACGGCCAGGTCTTGGTAGATTTGCAGTGGTCTGATACTCCTTCCATTTCAATATTATCACTTGCACAGTGCTCCTTGGGATGTTTAAAGCTTGGGAAATCTTTTTGTATCCAAATCCGGCTTTAAACTTCTCCACAACAGTATCTCGGACCTGCCTGGTGTGTTCCTTGTTCTTCATGATGCTCTCTGCGCTTTAAACAGACCTCTGAGACTATCACAGTGCAGGTGCATTTATACGGAGACTTGATTACACACAGGTGGATTCTATTTATCATCATTAGTCATTTAGGTCAACATTGGATCATTCAGAGATCCTCACTGAACTTCTGGAGAGAGTTTGCTGCACTGAAAGTAAAGGGGCTGAATAATTTTGCACGCCCAATTATTCAGTTTTTTATTTGTTAAAAAAGTTTGAAATATCCAATAAATTTCGTTCCACTTCATGATTGTGTCCCACTTGTTGTTGATTCTTCACAAAAAATTACAGTTTTATATCTTTATGTTTGAAGCCTGAAATGTGGCAAAAGGTCGCAAAGTTCAAGGGGGCCGAATACTTTCGCAAGGCACTGTATGACCTATAGTGCAACCAGCCACCAGGAAGTGATCGACTGCTGGTGGCTTTCACTTTGGTGCCGCAGATGGCTGCCATCGGTTCCGTACCGGAAACAAATTCCTTGTGTGTAACATACTTGGCCAATACAGGTGATTATCTTTATCCTTATCCTATCCTGTCAGCCTGTCCATCATTTATATAGTCAACGCTGTAGATAGTTAGTTTAGCTTAGCATAAAGACTGGAGACAGGAAACAGGTACAGTCACTTCACGAAGGCTCTGTCTGCTGGTCTGGAACATAATTTTCTGTAACACCTAAATATAAATACTGAATATTAATTATAGTTGTGTTCACTGTTAGTCCTAATTTATTTGATGTTTGGATAGTGGGTTTACAATATGTTTATATGTCTATACAGACTTTGTTGCTGTGCAAGTGCAGTTAGCAAAAGAAGCCACATTGCTAGCAGAATGAAATTGGGATTACATGCGGTAGTTTAGAAGAAAGTCAAGTGCAACCGCATAATGTATAATGCATTTCATAATGTACAATATGACCACAAACAAGCTGTTTCTCAATGTTCCCTTTCTGAGAGAACCTCAGCGGGTTTTACCTTGCAGAAAGGTTGGAAAAATAAAGTTTTCTTGAAAGAAAGTGTTATTCTCCTGACAAAACAAAGTGACAGAGGAGTTCACAATACTTACAAGATTTTCTATTGAACTTTGGAATTCGCTGATTTTCTTCAGTGTCTCATTGTCCCTCTTGACTTCATTGATGTACATGGCCAGGTCCTGAGAGAGCGAGGCAGACACTGTTTCAGCCCAGAACTGAAAATCTTTCTGACATCTGTCATATCATGGAAGATTTACGGTTCTATGAGCCACTGTAGAAAATTTATAGAGCTCTGGCTAAGAGCATTGCGAATACACATATACAGACATGTTTAAAACAGACCTGCATCGCTTCCAGTGCCTCTTTGAGCTGTTGTCTCTCTGGTCGATCAGTTGAATGACTTAAAAGTTCCTGTGGATGTAAAGAATTATTATTATTATTATTATTATAAATGTGGTGGAGAATATGTTGCAGTGGAGAACCATCAGCAGCTACACTGTACATAAAAATAAGACATACTGAAGCTGGAGAGATTGGTACTAGCCTCTGGGTCTGACTGGACTTTTTGATATTGATACTGTATTGGTAAATGTTGTCCTGCTCTTAGCCGATCAGTAATCTATATGCCACATAGTTTTGATCTATGATTGTTTGCCTCCTGTGTCCTCCGCTGGCTTATTGGAGTGATTTATAAAATACTGTTAAGCTGTGCTGGGACACAGCAGGTTTCATGAGAAAAACAAGTCTTATCAGATTTTCTCTAGTTTTAGAAAGAAAAATAACATTGTGGCAGCTTTCGAAATCTAATCAGCGCTGTCTACAAATCATCTGTGACAAACTATTATACATTGACAAATTCTTGTAGACAGACAGGAGTGATCTGCACCAGCCGTTTTTTTTTTTTAAATGTCAGGTCATCTTGCAGAAGATGAAAAATCAAAGCAAACAGAAGGAACCAACTTCAATACTGAGACAATATTTTGTTGTCATAGAACAGTTGGTGGGATTCCTATTTACAGTGTAGATTTAGGATAACTCACAGCAGAGCTGTGCAAAAATGTTTCATACTGTATTTTGAATGTAATATTTTTATGCATGACCAAAAACAATCCAAATTGCCTCTGCCTTCACTCAGTTAGAGGTGTTAAATGTTATGTTCACATATCTAATTCCAGTACATTGTTGAAGTTATGCCAGAAATCTCTACTCATGTAATGCTTCAAACCAGGGCGGTGGAACTGGAAATTATAAAAGGAATGAACTATTATGAATGGGATTCATTGCACAAGTTCACATATGAACACATCTTTCCATCCACTGTGCACGCACCCTGTACAACCAGTCATTTGTGCTGTGAATAAGCCATGACCCCTCACTGGCCTAGCCAAGAGGACAAGTACTGAGACTGGGCTTCTTTGTAACTTAAGGCACTTTATTTTTAACCAAATGTCCTGCTGACTCTGCAGATCTTTTCAATGTGGTGTTCTGTTACTTCTGCACAAAGGGGACTGTTATATCCAGAAAGCAGCAACGCGCTGCTGTACAGCCCATACACTCAACTTCAGATGATCGCGACTCCATAAAAACCCTGTAAATTCATAAACATAAACCCTGCTTGAGGAGAATTACTTCTAAAATGACTGTGTTGAAGTGACTTTATTTAGAGCTACAGTAAATGATGAAGAGACCAGAGAGTTCACAACATGACCAAAAGGGGAAACACTGCTGTGATGATATCTATACGAAATCAACTGAAGATATACCGTCAGGCATGACTGGACACACACACACAAACACATATACACACAAAAACAGACCTTGTGAGTCTGACATGCCCCGAGGGCACAGCAGACAACAGTGCTTCACTGCAAAGCTGTGGGAAGCAGTGCAATGAGGTGTGTTTAATCTGATTGGAGCATGGACGATTTAAGTTCAGTGCTTTGCTGAAACTGTTGCAGGGGTTCAATTCAAACTAACAGTGAAGTCGCAGCACTGATGCAAATACTCACCTCCACACTCTCCATCTATTATGTATTGCATCATAAACTCATATGCACATAAATAATCATTTACTCATGGGAAATATTACAGTGGCCAGCTTGTTTATACTTGAACACTAGGAGAAGAGCGCCAGGAAGAAAATGTTAGCTGTGATGTGAGTGGTCAGACATTGTGTTTAGATATACAAATACCGATTGTCTACTATTGTTTTTATTTATTTTTAAATAGGACTATTAATATGTCCTCATAACTGCAGAGCTGCTGTACAGGACATGGATATATTGTTCTACTGAGACAAACCTGGCACAAAGTCTAACCTTTGATTGGATTATTTTTAGTTTCATTTTGTAGTAAAAATGTCAGCATTTATTTTGAGACCAGAACAGTGACCCGAGCAACAATAATGCAAACAATAAATGAAAAGGCAAGTTGTAATAGGTTAAATGTCAAGTAGCACACACTGTGGGTGTACAATGACTTTGCAAAGCTACAAAGTGCAACTTCCAAAAGGGTCAATTTCATGTGGAAAGGTAAGAAGTCTGGGTAATTATGACAGCGGCGGCCAAAAGCAGAAGAACAACTGTTGCCAGTCAAAGCTTGGTGACAGAAATAAATAAACTTTTGAGGATAATTGTTAAGCACTGGCCAAAATTATCATCATCTCTGTGACAAAGTCCCAACAACAAATGTGCCTCACAATGATATTTTTGGCCAGCCCACCACTTAGGGACTGTTTTTGCTGGTGTATGGATCACAAATGACAAGGATCACAAGTGCCTTTAACCCACAATGTTTGTTACCAACCATTATAATATGTGTTGCCCTATCATGGGAATCAACATGTTACATCACTGCATAGCATGGCCATTTATGGACCATATAATGTGTTCACACATTATCCTTTATGATGCTGCACCAAGCAAAAAAATCGCCTTTCTGTAAGATCTGTGTCTCGTAGAGTACTGAGAAATGAACTGAAAGCCAATAATGGTCACACTCAATTAGGTGCTCTACTTATACTAGCCGTTTCCTTTAATTTATTTTTCCAGTGGATGATTAAACAGTGTAAAACTGATTGCACTGTAGGTGTAGCAGATATGAGATACCTCCTACCTTCAGTAGTAGGTGATACTTCAGCACCCTCTGCATGGGAACAACAAGAAGATCCTGCAGCTTGAACTTCCCTTCCTGCACCTTCATAGTACATTCCTGTGGAACAATGACACAAGCAGCAAGGTACATGTAATTATACATTGGATAATGCAGCAGAGTACATGTCCTACTAACAAGCATCCATTCACTGTTTAATAATTCATTGTGTTTTGGTGCATTGCTGCTGTTGCTTCCACACATTTAATGGAATGCCCCGTTCCATTAACAACAATGAGGTCAGTTTATTCTTTCCAGGGCACAAAAGCTCTGGTCATGCCAGCCAATTGATGATTGATCTCACAATACCTTTTGCAGGATCCCGTGAAGTTTCTCTTTTGCGAGATTTCACAAAGTCAACTATCAATTTTTTCCCCTTCAATGTCCTCTCCCGAGCTCCGTAGGTTTGAGCTACTTTGACTTAGAAAAAACACTTAAACATTTTTATTTTGCTGTTCATGAGAAGCATCTGCTACTGTGAACCACAGTTCAAAAAAAGAGATCTCAAAAAATTTAGGATCAGTATTGATTTGCATACATTTAAAAGGATTACAAAGTAATCTTAGAGTTTAGATATTCATCAGCCCACATCTAGACAAATCATTTGTACACAGATGATTCAGTACTGAGGCTACTCTTCGTAGAAGTGGGTGTCTGTCTTAAACTGGGAAGCCACAACACATCCATAAGGTTCAATGAGTTAGTAAAGCCCAGGGTAACAGCTAAAGGCTTAAAGGAATTACTGGACAAGTGGCAGTAAGACAGCGACAGTGTCATTTTGTCAGTAAAAAAAAATTACAGTCCATTGGGCTCACAAACAGTCAGGTATGCTGAACCATACATGCTCAGCTATTCTTATTCACTCTGGAAAAAAGCTTGTAGTGAAATATTCTTTTTTTTTTCGCTCATGTGCACTATATCAGTGGGGTGTCAGTTACTTGGTATCAGAATACAAGGACATTACCTCTACTTTAACCTTGACATCCTCTCGTGTTGCTATTAGCTCTTCCAGTGTCTTCTGGGCATTTTCCATGTGACTGCAGTACTGGCCATAGATCAACAACCTGGAGAAAAGCACAAACACACCAGCTGTTAATCTAAATACACTGCCACAGCTCGTCATCTTCATGTTCACAATATGTGACAAAGGACAAACTAATCCCAAAGGTGGTTTCTGTTTGAACCTTAATAAAGACTGGAGAGAGCATCATTAAAAATATCGTCTTTCTTTTGAAGGCTTTTTATTACAACTGACACTTTTTCCCCTAAAAAAAAAAAAAAAAAATCTGATGCCACTAGGGATCGGCACACCCCAGTCCCACACCTTAACCTGCTGCCTAATTGACACTGAACCCCACCCCGATTCCTAGGCTAACAATGTCAGTGGTGGGCTCTTAACTACATTCACTCCCAAAACGCCCTCTGCAGCCAAACCTATCTTAGAAATGGTTGAGCTTCAAATGATGAAACATTAATGTCCGTGGGCTAGGATTTTGATTTACACTTTTGTTCATATTCTGTGTCCATCAGAACATGCAGAGTCATAAAATCTTTTCAAGGCTGAAGGTTTAGTTAACAATCAAAAACTGAAACCTAATAAGCAGTAATGAGTCTCTTCATAATTTTCAAAATGTTGGAAGGATATCACATCTTTGTAAAAATATGGAGACAAAGGAGGCTGCTGCCTGAATCCACAATTTGCTCTGAACTGGTGAGCCTTTAGGCGATGCACTGCACATTAATTTTAAAGATTAATAACACAATCGGAGAGGTCATCCTGAGAGTCATTTGGCACAATAGGCGGTAGATAAATGAATATCTGAATAAATGTATTATGATTAGGAATATGTGATACCATAAATAAGTAATGACTGGATTCTGATCCCAGGGTATATTTGGAGGGTTGGAATCCTCTGGCCAATAAGCTGTAATCACAGAGCACTAATGAAAGACTGCTTTATATCAGTTGCTTTGCCGAGTTCCTCTTATCAGTGTGAGGGGAGAAAAAAAGCTCTTAATTTTGAGTAGTGATGATATAAGAGCTGTGTTTATTAGATTTTACAATGGGACCCTGACACAGATCTCTGGGTTCAGCTGTGAGGGAGTTCAAAGTCAAAGTCATCTTGCCTGGAGGATGCCACTGCACATGGCACACACTTCTCTCATTCACTCACTGAGGCAAAGTAGGGCATTGGCACGGCTGGTATAGTGCTAACCCCCAGCCCCCTGGTAGACTTGGCACTCCACTGTCTTAATCTGAATCTTGAGAGGGGCGCGGCGGCGCACAGAGCTGGCACGCTGATGTCTAATCAAGCCTCAGATAGATGTGTGAGCAGCATTGCAAGCAGAGCAGAGGTGCAAACAGGAAATAAAACTGCAAGATCACATGGGTTCCTGCTCTTTCACTAATTATACACACAGAGAAATGCTATTTACTCAATTTTAAGTTTAATAAACATAACACTTGCTATTTTTGACACATTTTTAATGAAAAATAACCATACTGATTTTCACCACATGGCTTCATGCATCTTGAAGTTGTTGTAAATGACACAGGGCGGTGGCTGGTGCCAACACTAATTTCAAGATTCAAATTTGACTCAAATTTTAATATTCAAAATAAACACTTTTTTCCCTAAAGAATTAGCCCAAAACTTAGCCTCGTATTTACAAATCTTGCTGCTAAAACAAGTATTGACACAATTCTAAGTTATGCACTACCTTATGTACTGTAATAGATACTTTATTACTCTGTAGAAATGGATTTCACTTCTTTGACTCTGTTGCTCCCAAAACACTTCAAGTATTAATTTATGAATCTCAATTCCTAACACAAAAGTATCTCTTCAAAAAGCATCTCTTCAACACTGCTGAGGTTGTAAATGTGTGATTCAGTGTCACATGGAACTCGGAACAAAAGCAAAAGTTTCTCTTTAAAGCAGCATTTCTGTCAAAGGGATGATGGCTGAAGCTTCACTGCCCCACAGGTAAAGTTCTGACTAAGGGCCCCCTGCAGTGAGGCACCTTCTACCCTGATATAACTGGCCCTGGGTTAACAAGGCCTTGATTAAGACTTGAGCCGTGCATGGAGAGACAGCTCCCGCTCCTCAGTGATTGAGATAAATGGGAGCCTCAATCAATCGTAAGGCAGCAGACGGACTGTGCAGCGTAGCGAGGATCCAGGTGCACGTGCCAGAGACACTCATTATATAGTTTTCAAGACATAATGTGACATGAAGGTCTTCTATTAAGAAGCTGTTCCATGACAGGAATCCAAAGGGCTCAAGCTGGTGTGAATGTGGGAATTATAATAGCACTTTAAGTGATGTAGGGCATTAGTGGCAGTCACACCGACGCCGTTTGCCTGCAGAAATATTTTTGAAAGATTAATATTATTTAAAAAAACTTGGCAAAGCTTAATAAAATAGAGGCAAAGCAGCTACTTCTGAGGTTGCACAGACAGAAAATGTTCATCATTATTAAGGACCTTGTTACACAATGTATGAAGGCCTGACACTACAGATTAATATTCATGAGTGTGTGGCCTTAATAAGAAATTATACTTAAAGGAACCTGAACGATGTGTTTCTCACAGTAATGGCAAGAACTACAGTGAGTGAATGAAAAGATGAGTGATGCTTATCTTGCTGGGTTGAAAAGAAGGCAATTCTTTAAAGTGTGTGTTTACCAGCATGTGTCTTTATGCATTCGATTGTGTGCCTGGAGCCAGCGGTTTGTTCTAGACTACCTAAGGGCTCAATTTCTGAAGCTTCCACTCACAACATATCAACCCATCTCTGGGCAGCGCTGTGATGAGGAGGCATTTTAGTCTCTTTCTGCTCATAGGTTTGGTTTTATAGCAGATTTATTATATAGTTCAATCTCAGCTTTCTGCTTAACCGGGTTTCCTACATCAGCTGTTTTTGGCAGCCAAGCTCTGATAAACTCACTGTATTGTACGCTGGCTGTTTAGCACCAGACGGCAGACTTACAAAGTTGGTAACTAACTAGTGAAGAATGTGGAACATTTGGCTACTAGAGGGACAGATGCTATTATGAGGAGTAGGTGACCAAACCAAAGCTGAAAGGAAAGTGAATCCTGGGCTTACATGCATCAGCTGGACACAAACACGACTTCAAATGAATGTTAATGTTGCTAGAGCATGTGGCAGCTGGATGTGGAACTGTTTTTCCACATGTCAGCCCTAGTAGTTTCTTGTGGGGTTTTACTGACCCAAAGTGGCAAAAAAAAAAAAAAAAAACCAAAAGCCAATGACAGAACAACAATAACAATGCACATGTAAGGCGTTAATTTAAAACAATCTAATGGAATCTCTCAGGCTGTAGGTTTTATCAAAAAAAATAATGGTGCTGGACAAGAGCTGTCAATCAGTTGGTTAATTTATATTCACTTTGGGACAGAGGTTTCCAAAGACTTATCAGATTTACAGTATGTGCTCAGTGGAAAGGCAATGCATAAAGTGATGTATGTATGGTAAATAATACGGTATTTTGAAAAGTTTGCACAAGATAAATGACATGAATAGAAAATAATACACCTTGTAGGACTTTAGCGGCTACTAAAACATGAAAGGCACCAAAATATCACACCCAAGTTCATCACTAAACAAACATGACTAATAAATCAGTAACTTGATTCCATATTGTGTGAAAAATAATTTCTGTGTCCTCTTCCCACAGACAGGCAGTGGAATAAAAGGTGTAATGACACACAAGCACACAGCAGCATGCATCTACTCTACTAGTCCAAGACACTGTGATAAGCACTCTCTTTACTTAACACCTCATCTGGATACACTGCAATGGAAGGTAACGGCTCATAAGTTCATGTTTCCTCCCTGTATTTCTGCTTCAGTGTAAAAAAACAACAACATATGTATATAAAAGAAAAGGGGGGTACATTTAAACAGTTACACTGTCTGATATATGGATGTATTAAGGTCAGACAACGCTATTTAGCAAACTGCTGCCCAGAATGAGGACAAAAAAAAAAACAAAACAAAATCCAATAGGACAAGCCAGACATTTCTGACAGGAACATATTTCTGAGTGTACACATATATATGAATAGTCAAATATTCACACTGACAACTGACTGACAAAATCCTTAGTCGGGTCCAGCCCTAGAAAAGTTTGTAAACAGACACATGAGGAAGGAAAAGTAAAAGCAGCAAGAGCAACAAAAGCAGAAACAACAACCTCTAAACAGCAGAGGTGTTTGAGACAGGTTTCCTTCAGGTTGGAGAGTCTGATGAAGGAGTGTAAATGTGTCATTTATATTCTTTTCAGTGCAGGTGAAACTGCCCCGCTGTGCTGGCCTCTTTCATAATGAGGATGCTGCCGTGCTTGTTATTTCACAGAAAATGCAATTTTGAGTAACTGCGCCCTGGGCTTCCACTCCCACCCTCGTGGAGCTCTGAGCCGAGTCAGGTGACTGAGGAAATCTCCCAGCAAACCAGAAGTGACAGGCTGTGGCAGCCAGTTAATATTCTCTGACACATGGCATTGGGACCCCCTCACCTCCACTCAGCATATCCAGCACACAGCAAATAGAGGAGAACATAAAGCAAACACCTCCTGTAAAAAGGCTCATAGTGCGGCCACGATTAGGCCACTGCAAGAATATCTGGGAGCCAGATTACTCCGGAAATGAGTTGGGGAATGTCGCAAATGAGGACATCAACAAGAGGGCACTTAGATACCCATTTAGTTTATAGAGTTTCCTCTGGGTGCACTTTTCCACTCAGCTTGGTTCTGGCTGTTTAAGAATTGAGAAGTAGTCAAGATAAACCAGTGACATTTTCACCACGGCATTCAGTTCAATGACAAATGGGGGGGGGACACGTCTTCATCTTTTGCACCAATATGAGAAAAAAAAACATACAAGCGCATTGTTGTAAAGGTCACAGGGACAATTCCAGGCCAGCGCACACAATTCCATTTTGGAAAATGTCGTAAATATTAATAATGAACAGTATGTCATCACCACATTTGTTTATGAATAGAAGGTAAATGTTAGATATTCTGTCAGAGGTAGACGGTTATAATTCTTTACAAAACAGGCGGGTCTTTGGCTCTTTTTAAGGTTTGGGCTCCTTAGTTCCAAAGAATGGAAATTATATGTACTATAGTTTATAAAGATATTTTAGTTTGGCGTGATTCCAACTTTGTGCCAACAGTCTGACAGTCTTGTTTCAACATGTTCACACCCTCACGCACAAAGCCATAAAGGAATGGCTTACCACGCTTGGTGTGGAAGAGCCTGACTGGCCTGCACAGGGCCCTGACCTCAACCCCATCCATCACCTTCGAGCTGACTTGGAATGACAATATATCTAATGTAATGTAATCTAACTGTAGAAACTACTGTTTCTGTTGAACTCTCTTACTGTTTCTACCTCTCCACATTCATCTTTTGAGCTTTCATGTCACATCAACAACCTTCCAGTATTTTACAAAGAACCTCTGGCTAGTTGTTTATGTTATCTAGTATTGGGTGCAAAAGAAGTGTTCCCAACCACTGATCAATCAGATCAGAGACTCAGATGAGCTAAATAAGGAAGGAGACGCATCAGGAGTGTGTGCATGTGTGTTTTGGACAGAGATGGAGATGCCTGCTTCTGTCTATTAGTAGGAATAGAGTCTTTCATGTCACACCAACTTTGTGTTACGCAGCCCTCCAGGCTTAAGGAAGAGGCCTGCAAAGAGCCTATTACCTGAGCAAACTGACATTGCCCAAAGAAAATTAGCTATCAGGACCAATGTGCAGAGAAATATAATATGTACTTATGAATGCAAGAACAGGTACATACACATGCAGGGAAGTGTGTGAGTCACCCAGTAATGGCTGTATCATTCGGGGAAAGAGGCCTATCCATTGCTGTGCATAGAATCATGACCGTGGCCCGAACCTATCATCACCATCATTACCATTACCTATGAAGCAGCAACACTCAGCGCAGCAGGAAAGCAAATCACTGTGCCCCTCTGGGATGCAAATCATTCACACGTTGCTCAGCAGCTGGGCAAGATGGAGATCCATCTGAGAGAAAAAACCTTTTCACCAGTAAAATTCAGCTTCCACCCGTTTCACATTTTCTAACCTCAATACTGAAGAAATCTCTCTTAACAAGAAATCTGTCCTAAAACCTTAATTTTCTCTGACTATTGTTGGGTAAAATTATTAACAAGGCATACTTTAAGGTTGATTCTAATATTTTATGAATTAAAAACTTAATTAGTAGAAGATTAACATTATGTTTGTTGATTAGTTAACTTGTTTGTTTACTGTGTGTCATATGATTATTCTATCATATTAAGAAAATGAATAATTAGGATTTAGTTTAGAGCATGCATGAGTTTGCTTACTTGTATGTTACAATTATGTTAACATAGTTAGTTGAGTATCTCATTCTATGTGTCCACTGAAGTATTGGCCAGTATTTACTGTGTTAGCCAACTGGGGTACTGTTTAACATCAAGGGAGACTGATTCACTAAAACACTGAATCACATTAGATTTACAGCTTTAGCAAAGAGGGTCCACAGTTGTTTTATGATCACCACCTGGCTGAAGAGGCCAGGGAATTTGGGGTCACTGGGACACTAGGGGTAATAAACAAGAGATTAGATCTAAAAGCCAACAAGAGGAAGACAACTTCAAAAGACAGGGCAATATACAGACACACACAGGCAAGACAGTTTAATTAGCCAAACGGGAAGCCATGTCTCATATAGTATAACAAAGAAAGGGGTGAGTGTAGGTATTTAGACAGAGTAGGATTTCCTCCATCTTTAGGAAGCTGCTTTTCCCATTGGAGCAGGAAGGATGCAGAAGGGGGACGGATGGATACATGGACCAATAGAACAGCACGAGAGGACCGGACCAGCCTACAAGGGCACATTTGAAATTGTATAAAAACAACTGAATGGAGGAGGACAGCGTTCCTTCTCCTCCTGTAGTCAGGTTGAACGGTTTTGCTGTTGAGGTCAGGGCTTCAGATAGAGATGGAACCCAGAGCTCTGTAAATTGCTTTATTCGATGGTCTGTTTAGTTATGATAATAAATGTTTGAAAATTGATATTTGATTCCGATTATTCTTCATGAAAGAACACGCTGCACTATTAAGAAAATAAACTGTCAACTTCTGTTCAACTGAACTTTTCAATTTCAGCAATAACTGGAAAAAAAAAACTACACTGGATTTTACAAACCAAATATATTTGCTTAAAGTAGGATTTCTAAAGAATGCAGCTCAAAAACTGAATCAATACTGATTACCAAAGAAACTGGTGCAGTAGTGTAAGAGGAGAAACTGTTGTCCAGCAATATAATAAGCCAACGCAATCTCGAGTGGATTTACTATGATTGTTTTGATTGAATGGGGAACAATTAGTTACATGCTCTCTCAGCTTTTTGTTTTAATTGACAATCTTTGAACAGTAATCCCACCAATCCTCCGACAGACCTGTGGATACTGCAACTCCTTAATTTTAAAGGGCAGAAAAAAACACCCAACACTGCCTCCATTCAAGTGGATGTTAACAGCATGTGTATGTGTGTGCAGACACATAAAAAGTTCAGTTTACTAACCTTTCTTTGAAGTCAAGGAAGATCTTTCCCAAGCCACTTCCTCCACTGACTATATTCAGGTCGATGGCTCGCAGGAGGGCAAAGTGGACTTTGATTACATCCTGTATGAAAATTACAACTATTGGAATTTGTTCAATGTAAATACAAACAGTATATAGATGTATACAGTGTTTCCTGTCCCTGGATAGTAGGCTACATGAGGTGTGCAACAGTGCATGTACACATTCAGTACAGTTCCATGTACAGTAAACAAGTTTGGTATGCCTTAGGATTCAAATACTTACTTTTTAGTCTTATGCAGTCTATATCTATCTATATCTCAACATATGTAGGACCTAAATTGACAAAACACAAGTTCTAAAGCGTGTTGACAATCCGCTTAACCTCTAGTAGTTCAAGGACAAGGATGGCATCAGTGGTGGAAGAAGTGCTCAGACTGTCTGCACACACATGTGTGGTGTAGAAGATAATTATTTAAGAATGTAATTATGTAAGAATGTTAATACTGTTATAATTTTTTTAGTATAATACTTGTGTGGTGTAGTAGAGAAACAATTACAGCTTGCAAACCAATGATGGTAAGATGATGTCATGGGGTAGGACTGGATAAGTCTGACTTCTTCCTACTCCATTCAAGCATGTACTAGGTATAAGCAAATTGATATTGGATTATGTGTACAATCATGTGTGTTGTCATATCAACTGTCTTTACATGCTTGAAAGAATAAATCAAATCAAATCAAACTGTTTACTTAAGCGAAAGCAGCAACATCACAGTGTAAAAATACTCTGCTACAAGTAAAAATCCTGCATTCAAATGGTTACTTCAGTTCAAGTACAAAAGCTTTAGCACAAAATATACTTATATAATTAATATTGCATTTAATAGTTTATTATTAAGCAATTTCCAAAAATAAATGGATAGTGTAGTTTTAGTAAAAATTTTTCAAGTAGAAATAATAGTACTTAAACTACTATACATTACTACTATATATTTGGTGTCTCTAGCCAGAATTTACAGCATCAGGGTGGTGTATGTGGGACTGATTCAGAATAAAAGTAGCTGTAACTACATCATTTACAGTCTCTGTGGAAATGCTGTGGTTTCTAAGTAAATAAGCTGTGGATTGAATGAAAGTGTGCGCTGGCCTTGTTAAAGTAAAGTAGTTATGTTAATATAAATCTTATAACATTACAATAAACATACAAATTGAGTTGAGAACATTCTCATATGTGAACGTATGCTCACAGTTTTTAAGCTGTCATTTTCTTTTAGGTGGTTGTTTTATGATAAATTGATTTCTGATCAATCTGCACAGCAAGAAGTACAAATTGAATCTTTTGTCCCCCCCACCCCCCGTTTAATGAAAACACTAAACCATGACACCAAAATCTGAACCGTGAATTCCGCCATTAACACCACTAATATACACAACACATCCAGTCATTTACTGAGCCATCCTTATACATGCTGAATTACCCACTTGGCTCATGACAGACCTAGGCATGCTGTATAGACCTCCTTTTCTTAGCTTGAGCAGTTACTCACCTCAAGGTTGACAAAGATAGCTTCCATGTCCTGTGGACTTAAGACTTGCTTCAATGGAATCATGTAATTCTTGAAGAGAAATAAGAGTAAATATCAATAAAGGCCCTCTGTAACCGGGCAAGCTTCTACCAGATCTGTAAGAATTTATTTAATAGACAGCAGAACTCAAAGTTAACTGCAGAAGATCAATACCAGGCTAGACTGTAAAAGATAAAGTCAACCGTGTATGATGTTATTTCATTCAGGGCTATAATGGTGAGTGTGCTATACTGTACAATTATTCTGCATGCTGCCCTTGCAGAAGAAAAACCTGATGTTGTTTTATGGTTGTCACATTACATCATCATAATAATGACAAATAGATCAACTAAGAAGCAATGAAGAGATGACAGGCTTTATTAACCCCAACTCAATTAAGCCTAACGAGTCCTCTGATCATAAGAAGGCTATTTATTCTTATTTAGTCTCATGGTGGTCTGATGAGGGAAACACAGGATACACATTTAGTTTAATGAAATTAGGGGAACGGGTGATTTGTGGCCCTCCATCAAATCGCGAATGAAATCTGTCAACAGGGAAACTGATGTGTTAGCAGCACTGATCTCAATAATGGTTAATTATCACAAAGAGAGACCTGGTGTGTGTGTGTGTGTGTGTGTGTGTGTGAGTGTGTGTGTGTGTGTGTGAGTGTGAGAGAGAGCGAGAGAGTGTGTATGATTCATTAAGCTAACAGAATTTATTGCATTACTAGAAAGCACTTGGAGTTTGTTGGTATTTGTGGACAGCAGTGTTGTGGGTAGTGATTTTTCCAGCAGTTCAGTAGTGAAGTAAGTAAATTTGTCCATAAACTACAAAACAAATATGTTAAGGTGGACCGGGAACATGCACACGTTCCTTCCGCTCTCATAAAGTATATGTGACCATCTAAAATGAACGCACAGCAGTAAAGTGAGCAACTTTTCTTTCTCAAATAGTTTCATACATACTGTATGTACAGTCCACCAGTGTGACACAAAGGTGCATTAATTAAGATTTTACACATTGTCTGACAAATCAAGTGAAAATGGGACTGGATGCGATGTCTCAGCTGTACAATCCCCCTCCATGAGACTCTGCTGACTACAGGGATTGTTATTAATCAAGCCTCTCTACTCTGCGTTTTCAAAACACGGTCTGTACGTTAGACTCGCCTGCCACCTAGCAAAGGTAGTAAGTAGTTTTTCAAACTGCAAGTACAGTAATCATTTCAAACACCCAGTGATGGAGGCACTCTCAGCAGCTAAACATCCAAAACTGTGGCTGCTAGACTAAAGAGGCCATATGCTTGTGCACTGAAAACGTTGGATAAAGACAGAGCAGGAACCGGGGGTAACATCCAGGGTTTGACAATACCGTAGCCCGATGGCCTGTGGCCACCATACATCACCAGTAGGTAACCCACCATGGCCACCAAGCTTTATCAGGTGAACTACATACCAGGATGTTTATGACTTGATTGAAATAGTGCAAAAATCTCACCTCAATTTTAGGAAGCACACATGTAATAAGTATGGGACTATTCTTTTCGGATAAGTGCTTCAACACTGGTTGCCAGCAGGCGCGCGTCCTTGGGTCTGCGATGTGCATGTCTATACTTAAAGCCCCAGGGATCAGTGTCTCTTGTGGGGCCTGAGTCAGTAATAACCATATCGATCAGCTCCTGTGACATTTGTGTTCCCCACTGAATCTGCCAATAGCTGACATTTCCATGCTGTGACCCGGCCCACTAGCCAGAGACTCCAACAAAGAACTGACAAAACCAAACTAACACAACATTGCTTGCACCAGGAAAAAAAAAACTCACGCTTATCAAACATATCTCCTCATACACACATTCTTACACTCACCTTCTCAATGTCCTCTAAAGTCTTGTAGTACTTTGCTTCGGTCTCCTGGATCTCCACTAAGCAGCAATTTCTCTTGTCATCTTCTGTCATACCCATTTTCTATGGGGAGATAATGAACTATAATGAGTTGGGATGATTATGGTGCATGACTTTGGATTATTGATTATCTTTTGAATAATTTTCTTCTGGTTATTGTTTTTTTTTACCATTTATAGCTTACATTTGAATTGGTTTTTCAGATATGTTCATCAATATCACACAAGGAATTCAAACACATGGCCCTGCCTTGTTCAGTGGCTACAATTGTGGCACATAAACAGGATTTTAAAGAGCCATAGAGGTGGTTTTTCATGCTCTAGTCCGTTTACTGCAAATCATGTAGACTTTATATCATAGCCAAACATTTTGTAAACTGAGCTTCAGTCTTTGAGTGTTTAATATCCATCGTGTACTATGTATTCTATTCACTTTGAAAATTAATTTACACACTCTTGAAAATTGCTTGAATTGTGTACATGTTATCTGTCACACTGTATTATAGGCACAAGATAATCCAGTCCAGACTTTCCTCTCAATTTACACCTAAACTGCATTACCAAGCAGCCATAATGCAACACTGACAAAATTAAAGCAGACTTGATGTTCACTATAATGGATAACACACCTCAGGCAGGTTTCTGCGGGAGTCTCCTTTACTTTATAATTCAACACTGCTTTCCAGGGAGTCTTGAATATATAATGCATTAAATTTGCTAACTGATTTTCACACTGTTTTTAAAAATTCATGAAAAGCAATAGCTGCTGGAATGGAAGGAAAAACACATCCAAAACTATAGATTGTATACTTGTTATTTAAAACAAGCATGATATCCAAACTGACTTAACCCAGATAAAAATGCTGTTCCACACTGGTATGACTAGAGTTAAGCGGTGACACTAACGTTGGAGGGAAAGGGGAGGCATGTGAGCTAGTGAGCTTTTATGCACACATGTACATGTGGGATGGCAGGCATGTGTATGTACATAGATTAATCTAAGCCTATTAGGCAGATTGCACATTGTAAGGGAGCAGGGGAGGTTGGGAAACACACAAACATACTGTATCTACAAATGCCTAATGTTACACACTTCACAGATCATCTATGCTGCTGCAGCGCTATGAGCAGTTTGACTGTGGAATAAGTAACTAAGCCAACTGGAGCAGGTTTTTCAGTCGATAACTGATGTGATAATAGAAAACCTGGAGAAAACAATACAGAAATGAAAGGCCATGCCAGGCCTCAATCCAGCATGTAATCAACCAATCAGAACCACCACTCAAAGCCAGCCGGATCTTCTTTATTTGTCTAATGCTTTGAGGTTTGATGCGGCAGCTGGTGATCCTTGCTGACGTGAATTAACACTGCAGTCACCAGTGTCTCCGCTGGGCCCTGAATCAGACTTTGGACCAGATGGCGTCTGCTGCTCCCCTATGCACAGTTCACTAATCTAAATGGCAGGTCATTGTCTTGGGATAGTATGAGTTTGTTTTAAATGAAGTGGTGGAGGGAGTTAGATGACAGGATGGGGTGAGTCACAAGCACAGCAGCACTCACCTGCATGTATCTGATCTGCAGCGTAAGAAAAGCAAAGCAGTGCAAGTCAGAAGTCACATTTGCTGCCAGTTATGATTGAGATGTTTACTGTAAGTGCGTTCTGCACACTGCCATCATTGAAAATGTAGTGCTTTTAGTCATAGACCTTTGGCAGGCATCAGGATCACAATATGACAACATAACATACAGTGTACCTGACATAGTGACATCATTATTAAAAATATCCTCTGGGATAAAACGGAAGAGATGATGACACAAAGTTCTTACCATGGGTTGTCGTACTTCCACCTTAATGATGTCCTCATAGATGTCATCCCCATCGTCCTCACATGGCACACAGTCATAGATGTCATCCTCACCCAAGTCATGTTCACTAGGGGAAAGTCACACACGCACAAGTTAAATGAACCGTGGTATGTAAACATAAGCTTGGCTCAAAGAACAAGTCCTTTGGGCTCATATGTCCACCACTCTAAGATCTCATTATCTTTCACAAGCCCTGCCTGAAGAGTGACATCGCTGTTTCAGACAAGGGGATACAGTAGCCAGTGTTCGCAAACCTCCACTGAGCTGCATTATTGAGTGCCATTTCTCTTTAATGTGTTTATGTTGCTTTGGCACCCAGCTAGCTCAGTGACCTTTAATTAGGCAAGCAGCCAGCAGAGCACAGGCAGTTACTGTGGAGAAGAACGTCTTGTGGGAAAGATCCTCACGTTCGGGGAGCTCACACTGTAGCACCCTCAGTTCTGTAAAAGCAATTATTATTTGTGAAACTTACTGAAGCAGTGGGGATGCTTCAGCAGCAAAAGACTTTGGCAATAGACCCATATTGATGTAGTTAATAAGCAGGGAGCAAGCTTTAAGTGACAAAAAGGAAATAAATGATTAAATACTGTAAATAAACAAAGGTAGTAAAAGTGACCATTTAAATAATAGATTACCAGTGTTGAAGCTTGTTTAAACAAACTTCCATAAACCTCGGCTGTATACAGATGAAGGCATAATTGTCCAACACATAATGTTGCCATGGATTAAGTGAATTGCATTGTGGGATACAACATGACCTTTTATAGCCTGTATTTTGTTTACATTTTCACACCATTAAAAATGATACTGAAGTACTGTAGGTGCATCTTCTTTCTATGATTTCTAAGCAGATTTCAGCATATGTATTCATAATAGACATTAAATATAGTAATATCAAAAAGTACAAGGCACAATAAAGCTAAAATAAGTCTGAAAGTGGCTGTCTCTATAATGACTTTAAGAAGGCATGCAATTTTTGAGGCAAACTAGGCACTAAGTCATTTTAAAGGATCTTATTTCCCTGTGTGAGCTCTGTCTCACAACCACTGCTGGAAATCCAACTTCTAACAAAATCAGGACCCATGTGCACCGTTTTCAGAACACCAACATGCACCTGTACCTTTCAACTCCACCTTTTTCTAAATAGAGAAGAATAAATGAATAAATACTATAAATAAATAAAGACTGCTGTATGAGTTCCTTGTCTCAGGGTTCAAGCTCAGCAAGTATTTGCTCTCCTTAAATGTATCTGAGTTAGACCTTAAATCCTACAAGCTCAAGGGTTGCTGCTTTATGCTCTGACCTGCCTGAGCAGGTCAGAGCTGAAAAGACATGTTGTAGGAAGTGTATATACTTTATTAATCCATGGATATATGACAAGAAGATTTATAGGCACAGATAAAGGCTGTTGAATTTTCTCCACTGTGACGTGGCTACATGTGACCTCCGGCAGCTGCCAGCAAAATTCCTCCTTTCATTGTGTGCATGGGGAATTTAAAACATAAGAGAAGAGAGCACTGCCCTCAATCACATATTCAACCCTGCCATCATGCCTGTGTGGGGGATGTTTAAAGTTTTAATTGAGGTGGCTTGGTTCACTCTCTGCACTGTGCTGCTTCTTTCTTCATTAAGTAGAAGTGGCTCATGCTGAATACTGAGAAGGCTGTGTGGGAGGACAAACAGCCAGCAGAAGCTGTCCTATCAGCATCCCCTCTCTGAACTCTGAAACTACCCTACACTCCACAGAGACTGAGGAAAGCAGATGTCGTGCTTCATTTTGCTCGGTTTCCTTAGAGAGGGTATAATGTGATGGAGGTCTAGAGCAGTCATATGAATAAGACCTGAGAAGCATCATCTCAGGGTAGAGCATACTGACATAAGGGACTGCTTCTCAAAGGGAAATATTTCATTGATCAGTGATGACATTTAATCTCTATTCTCTTTCCCACCTGATTATTTTGTCATTGTCCAACAGTCGGATGTTCCGAACACTCATTTCCAGGCATCTGTAATGTGTTTTGTGAAAAGCTTATCAACTTCAATCCTGTACTGACAAAGTTGACTGTATTTTGTTCTTATCAACTGTAGTCAGCAGTATTCTAATAACTGAGCATGGTTTTTCTGATTATCAGAACCTTTAGATTGGGTTTACTGTATTTAATTTTATTTTGCTCTATGTAACACACCATATACCGTATTTTCCGGACTATA